TCAGCCTTGAGCTGTTAGAAGCTGTGTTAGTGTTTATTCAAGTCTTTACAGGCCAAGGCTGAGGCCTAGTCGAGAAGGGGGTGCAGAGGAGCCTGCCTAGAGCTTGGTCAAGGAGAGAATCTTTCTCACAAGCTATTAGCAATAAGCAGCAGTTTAATGGACCAGTTCCCTATCCATAAGTCCCCTCTGACACCGGCCTCTGCCCAAGAGCCTCCCCATGCTCCACTGATGAGATGTTTCACACACACACACACACACACACACACAATCACATACACAAAAAGATTCTTACATGCTTACACATACACATTATCACACACACACATACTTTCACATACTCACATGCATATACTTACTCATTCACACTCATATACATACACATACTCACACACACACTCCTTGTCCCTATGCTGTGTGTCTCAATTCCCAGGCCCAGCTGCTCATTTTGCAGATCACAACCCTGTAGTTTTTGGCTGGGCCTACAGCCACATTGGCATCTCCTGGCAGACTGGCCTCTCAGAATTTCTGCCATGAGACTATCATGAGCTGGAGTTGGGGTAGATCCAAGATCTTCCACCACCAGAGAAACTAGAGAAGAGATCCCTTCTTGCAGGCAGGAAAGGTGCAGGTAAGAAGAACAGAAATTTTGCCTAGAAGGAGAATCAGGCCCCTTGGGCAGCTCAACTTGATGGTTCCCAAAGTCCCTAGTCACTTGGTGAGTTCTCATTCTGTTACCTCATTTCCCCACTCAGCCCAAGATCTCAGGCCAGGAGTTGAAAAAGCTGGCATTGGACTTCAGGCCAAAGCATCTTCCCCTCTGCCATAAGATTCCTCTCAGACAGGGGTCTTTTTCAAATTCACCAAAAAACTTTACACAAGAAGAAAGAAGTTGAACATTTCTTAGGTTAACTAGTCATGCTATAGTTGACATTATCCAACTGTTAAGTATAATCAAATCCCCTCATAATCGATCATCATCCCCTCATCAGCTCACCTTCTCTGGTTTTACACACTCTCCCTGTGGGTTGTTTTGTGCCTTTCTGCAAGGGCGAGAGAAGAATTCTTTTTCTTTGGGAGGCTGGAGCAAAGAGCATGACTTTGCTCATGGATTTGTGTTCTGGCTCTTTGGTAAAAGCTTCACACAGGTAGGTGTATCTTTTCTGTGCCTCTGCAAAACAGCAGAGTGGTGATTGGGATTAAATAGGATCTACATTGAAAGCACCCATCAGAGTTCCTGGCTCATGAGACATGACCAACATGTTGTAACTATTAGAATTTCTTTTACTTTTTAATTATACAATGTCAGTAATGTAGTGTGACTCAAAAATCAGTATTTCATCAGAAAAACTGTCATTCTCTTGGTTCTGGGTGGCGGGGCAGGGTAGGGGGCTTCCTTCAGAATCCCATTGCATCAGTGGTCACTTTCCTGCTGTGTTTTGTGTTTACTTTGGACCCCAGGAAGGAGGTGGAGTGGGCTTTGGTGCCGAGCTGAGCAGTGCACGGGGGAGACAGTAAGGTCATTTTCTGGGCCATCAAGCTGCCTCATCTGTTATGTACCAATTCTTTGGCTGACCCTTTTGACCCATCCGGTGCCTGTAACTTCAGATCCCAGGCAGCCAGAATGCATCTTTTCATTTGTCCCAGTTTGTCTCCATCCAACATTCGCAGTAAATTGAGGGGAAAATGACACGTCAATGATATTTACAATGGGGAAAGGAAAGGAGATGCTGTCTTTGGTCTGGGCATGCCCAGAAGCTTAGGCAAAAGCTCTGGCAAGTCAGGGTTGGCCAGGCTGGATTCAATTCCGTTACCTGTTTGCTGAGCGCCAGAAATAGATTCTAAAACATCTGCCACAGTCGCTCCCAGGTCGAGCTCCTGATCTCTCCTAGGGAGGCAAGGGGAGCCGAGGTGAGGGTGGAAGGTGGAGGGGAAAGCCACATAAGGAGGGAAGGAGGAACAGCTTGCCATCTTTCTGGGGGACCTTGGTTATTCCCAGCATGCAAGAACAACTTAAAGGAAGGAGAGCTGTCAGTGCTGGGCGGCTGCATCATTTTCCCATCTCATTCACTTTCAGATCATGACACCTTTTCAATAAATTAGAAAACAAATATCCAAGAAATCTGAATGTCATGGCTTAGGCAGTTTAAACAGCTTTTAGAACCTTACCTTCCTCCTTCTAATGACTGCATGTACAGCCAAAGATTTTGTGCTGAAAACAAACATCACACATTTGCATCTTCAGTGTTCTGGTCATAAATTTACAGGGCTGTTCTGTAGTCCTGAATACAGAACATCTCTGTTAGCACACAGCAGGAATTTAAATGCTTCTGGGAAACAAAATCAATAATAATGTTCTTCTACATTAGATATACCTTATAAATGTGATCAAAAGACTACCTTATAAAAGCAATGTACAGATAAATTTTTACAATAAGAGCACTTTCATGGGATAAATACTTTTTCAGCATGTTTTATTAGCTCCTGCACAATTTCTTCAAGTGGATAAAGCTTAAGAGAAAGGCTTCTAGATATTTATCTTCTAATGCAGTTGTTTATCAAATAACAGAATAATCAGTGGCCAGGTAGAAGGCATTGTTGGTACTGAATGTAGACACAAAGAGAGGAAATCTGGAAATAAATTTATTTTTGCAGTTCACTTACTGCTTTGCCATATAAAATCCTGAATGAAGCCAGCACTCTTTGTCTACTACTGAGTAATTTTTTTCTAATTATATAGCAGCACCTGATTTCTGACTTACATGATACAGAAACAATTAATTGCAAGGTTTGGAGCACAAGAAATCAGGTAGCTTCACTTCCCTGTAGCCAAAGGAATTTGGCTTCTATATTCAAACCTCTGTGTGGTTACTAAGAATAGGTTATAATAAAAAGAGGAAGAAAACTGTGGATTTCTACTAGCAGATTTTTACTCATTCAGGAAAAAAAAAAAAGATGAGTTTGAAAGTAACAATGAAAAAAAGCCTCCTTTAAAATGTGTCTCTTATTTTACTGCCTGCTCTTCCAAATGAGACCCTTCCCCCACCCCACCTCCCACCTTTATCCCCTGGGCTCCTGGAAATAGTTCTTGAGGAGAAACTTTTATTCCAAACAATGTTGCAGCTACAACTTGGTCATAAAGAATTGAGTAGGCCTTTTGCAACTGTAGGTTCACTTTGTGCTTTTTCTTACTCAGTTGTGTCTGTCCAGCTTCTTGGAGTCTGAGTACATAAGAGCAACGTATAAGTGATCAAGGATATTCTCCAATAGATGCTGTTCCAGGAATCTGTCCTGTGAATCCTTGCAGTCAGCAGGTGTTTCTGAGCAGGAATAAAGAAAGAGAATGAGTCAATGACAGCCAACATTTGTTAAGCATGCATCATTCACTGTGCACCAGCAGGGTTCTGGGCTTTACGTGTAGTATATCATGCAATGCCCACAACACCCAAGAATAGCATTATTCTTATTTTATGGATGAGGTAAAACTATTTATTACAAAGGGTTGAGCAGCCAGTAACCGGCAGCATTTATGAATTCAGAATAATTCCCTTAACCACTACTATTTACTAGCAGGATATTTCACATGGGTTCATGCAGACAAACCTCATAGTAATCCAACTACAAAGCAGTATTATTCTTCCCATTTTTTCCATTGCAGTAAGTCAGACAGAGGTAACTTTCTCAAGGTCACAGTTAGCAAGGGACAGAGCCAGAATCTGAACCCTTTCAAAGCCTGTGTTCTTTCTGCCATCCCACATTGTTTCCACCAAGCATTTGGCATGCATATTTTTGAAGAGTGTCAGTGCTCAACTTTGTATTTAACAGGGCAAATATAAAAGAAAAACATTTACAAGACCAAGAGATATAATTTTAGGATTCCTTCCTTTTACTAAAAGGAAAGGGTAGATGAAGCATTGTGTTGGCAAGAAAGATAATGGACTTTAGTTTCCAAAGAAGACGGTGTGGAAAAGTGAGTCTATCCCTGTCCATGAGGGATGGAAGGGTAAGTCCAGACTGATAGGAGAAGGAGTTTTGTATCAAGTATAATGAAAATGGCTGCAAGCCATGGAAAATTCCAGAACAAGTACTAACAAGAAACCTTGTTTAGGTGCTGGTTCAACTGCTCAAAGATGCCATCAGAACCCAGGTACCCTCTCTTCCCACCCCTCCACCCATATCCCAAGGGCCTTCTCATGTGAGTCAGAAGATGTCCCATCCATCACAAAGTCAAGGGGACAAAAGGGAAAGGCTGCACCAGGCACCACTGGTCTCATATCAGCAGAAAAGCCAAATCTTCTTCAGACCCCTCTCATCCCCAGCACGTTTCCACTTAGGTCTCATAGATCAGCAATGTGTGCCATGGCCACCCCAGCAGGCAGGGAGGTTGGGACAGCAGTGTCTAGCTGGACACCTTATCTCCCCAGCCGAATCACACCCACATGTGGGTGGGGTGGCATGGAGGTCGGAGAGAGAGGAAACTTTGGTGTAGGAGGCCAGTGTGGAGAGGAGTTAGGGCAGCAGGGCTGTACTTGGGAGAAGCTGGGAAGTGGAATCTAATCCTTCCTTCCTTCATCCTGCTCTCACTCTCTTTATTCTTTCTGCTCCAATCCCAGACCAGTAGCCTTTTGGGCTAAGTAAAGTTGATAATAATCGGATTATCTGACTCACTGTTCTGTTTTGTTAGTCCTTAGGAAATAATAGGTATTAAATAAATTATTAATTAATGAATGAAATGAGGAAATTCTAGGTAAATAACAGCTGGTGAGGGCCTTTGGCTGCCCTGGCTAGAAGTTTTCACCACTTCTGGAGCCCAAGGAGTTTGGACACCACTGTTACCAGAATCCATGTGTACAAACGTCAGCTAAATGACCCAACCTCAGACAAGAGGAATCTGAGGAGGCTGATGACTCTCTGGCTTGGGGTCTTGCTGAAAACGACCCTGTGTGGCTTTGTTGCTGCTTCCTGTGATTATAACTCCATGGTTCTTTTCTTTGTCTTTGCAGAGCCAGCTCTCCCAGGCGCTGAACGGACTGTCAGACAGGGCCAAAGAAGCCAAGGAGTTTCTGGTACAACTTCGCAACATGGTCCAGCAGATTCAGGTATTGACATCAGCTGGGTCACAGCAAACCCCGTGGGTTAATGTGTAACTGTGTAGTGGGGGAGTTTGTTTTTTCTCTTATATTTTTATGTGTTGTGGAAAAATTCCTATTTTTTTATGCTGTATCTCTTCTATACATACAAACATACATACAGATCAACTTCAAACATATCCCTTCTTGAGGGGTTACCTTTGTCAACAAGCTGGAAACGCAGCCTGGTTTTCCAAGTGGAGGTCCTCATTTTCTACTACTAAATATTCAGAAAGAGTCCTATTTCTTTGGAATTCAGGGTCATTATTACAAAGTTTTTAAAACCCTATAGGTTCCCAAAGCACCTTGTGACAAGTATATCTTTTTTTTTTTTTTTTTTTTTTTTAGAGTGAGTGCCGTGGCGTCAGCCTAGCTCACAGCAACCTCAAACTCCTGGGCTCAAGCGATCCTCCTGCCTCAGCCTCCCGAGTAGCTGGGACTACAGGCATGCGCCACCATGCCCGGCTAATTTTTTATATATGTATCAGTTGGCCAATTAATTTCTTTGTATTTATAGTAGAGACGGGGTCTCGCTCTTGCTCAGGCTGGTTTTGAACTCCTGACCTTGAGCAATCCGCCCGCCTCGGCCTCCCAAGAGCTAGGATTACAGGCGTGAGCCACAGCGCCCGGCCAGTATATCTTATTTAATGGTAACAAGTCACGTTTTCTCTTTTTTTTCTTTCTTCCTTCTTTCTTTCCTTCCTTCTTTTACTTTTATCATTCCTTTCTTCCTTCTTGATCCATAATAATGCTTCTCCTCCACTTAGATACTTAAATATTTTTCAACCATGATCCCGTAGGGATTATAATTTCACATTGCTTCATCTGGACACAATGACCAGCAGGTCAACCAACATTTGAGAGCTCATGAATTCTCCACTATAGCTGAAGGAGAAAAGACATAAACTGCATGAGATGCTAAAGTAATGACCCTCTGTACTATTTGGCATTCTTATGTTTTGAGGTTTGCCTCACAGAAATAACCTTAGCCCTGGCCTACAATAAATTGGCATAAGTTAATATTTAACCCATGTCAAGGCAGAAATGGATTTGTAAATGTAAGCTATCCTTTCAAAGCATTACACACTGATTTCTTTGCCTTTTTTTTTTTTTTTTTTTTTGGCATGCATGCCTATGTTGAAATTTTTGATTCCCTAACAACCTAACCATTTTGTATACTCCCTTCTGTTTTCTGAAGCAAGAGTTTATCAATCAGTCCTTTCTTTGCTTTTGCTGGCATAAAATGTGCAGCCCCAGGCTTGCCTCTGCCCTGGCCTCTTCATCAGAGCAAAGCTTTCTTTCTGCTGCAAATCAGTGACAGAGCCTGTAAGGATAAGGTTCCCCCCCCCACTGAAATTTACATGTGTAGAAACCATTGCTCAAGCAATAACTAATGCGTACCTTATACGAAGACCTTAAATTTGAGAACAGTTACCAAATACCTATCAGTTGATTATTATATAAAGAGACATAGTTCTTTATGACTTTGGGAATAAATTAAAATTTGATAGGCTAAGTTGTTCCTTCCTTGCCAGCCCCCAAATTTTATAGTTTACTCAATAGGGTGCTGTTTTTTTAAGTGCTGTTAATGCATATATGAGTACTTAGCTTTCATTTGCTGTAAACTACATTTTTTTCAGATTATGGTTTAAGAACCAAAATTATATATGTACCTCATTGAAAGGATTATCTTTAATAAATGTTTATAACTCAGTGAGAGAATTGCTTAAAAGAAATATCTATGGCATGTATAGATTTAAATCAAATAAAAATGTTATAGCCAGCATTTAATTTAAACATCATGAAGAAGCTATAATTAATTTAGTACATAGTTGCCTTTGCCCCACAAGCTGTCGGCTCATGTCTGATTTTTACAGCAGGTTGATGACTGTTAGAAGCATCGATGATTCTTAACTGCCTGCTGGAGTTCACTATTGGCTTTCCTTAATGAAAGGTGCAAATACTTTTGCCCATTATTCTTATATCTTATAAACATCTGTTATCATTGGATTATTGTTTAATATTGAAGACCATTGCCATCCTCTTTCTTCTTTCATATCTTGGATTTACTGATTCCTGTCTCTCATGCCTTGACAATATCCCACTGCCTCCTGGCTGCCTTTCTGAAGGTCATCTTTCACCATACATACATGTCCCTTGAAAGGATTCATGTCCAACTCTACATACTAAAGCTTTATTTCACTTAATATAATTTAAATTGTGGAGATGATTCCCTTTTGATAAAAATAAACTTAAATGATAAACATTTATCCTTTTCAATCTAAATTTAAAGCAAAACACTACCACTGTAGAATAAAGTTTATCCAGTTATTTATAAAAATACTAAATGTGCATTGTGGACAGAGTTCCTTTTCATTATTCCCTTCAGCAGGAGGGACACATGCATGGGGGAGCTCTGTTCTCTCTGGCAGCCCAAGACACCCAGCAGCTCACAGCTGAGAAATGTGCTCTATCACACAGGAGAACAGCGTGGAGTTTGAAGCCTGCCTGGTGGCCCAGTGTGACGCCCTCATCGATGCCCTAAACAGAAGGAAAGCCCAGCTGCTAGCCCGTGTCAATAAGGAGCATGAGCACAAGCTGAAGGTGAGTGCTGCATGGTGGGGAAAGCAGAAAGCCAACGAACCTGGCTCCACTGGCCCTGATGGACAGGCTGGAGGAATTCCCTCCCCTGGGCTAGAGGGGAGGATGCACACAGGCGTGAGTAGCCAGTGGCCTGGCCAGAAAGGAGCCGGCACATCCCTTCATTCACCACTTACTCTTTCATTTACCTAAACAATGTTTGTTGAGTGACTCCTCTGGGCCAGGAACTTCTATGGGTGCAGGAATAATAAATAAATAAAAATCCCTGCCTTCATGGGCTTATATTCTACCAGGAGGGATAAATAGTAAGCAAGATAAGTAGTTTAATTCATTTCATGTTGCTATAACAAAATACCATAGACTGGGTAATTATAAACAATGGAAGTTTACTGGCTTACGATTCTGGAGGCTGTGAAGTCCTGGAACATGGCACTGGCATCTAGTAAGGGCCTTCGTGCTGTGTCGTCCCGTGGTGGATGGCAGAAGGGCAAGTGACCATGGGAAACAGAGAGGACGGGGGCTGAACTTCATCCTTTTATCAGGATCCTACCCCCACAATGACTAACCCACTCCCGAGATATAGTACTAATCCTGTGAGGGCAGAGCCCCCATGGCCAGATCACCTCTTAAATACTCCTCTTAATACTTTTTCAATGGCAGTTAAATTCCAATGTGCAATTTGGAGGGGATATTCAAACCACAAAAACAAGTAAAATGTGCAATATGTTAGTAAAAAGTGCCAAGAAAAATAAAATTAAAAAGGCAGGAAAAGGGGATGGTGAGTTCGGAGGATGGGGGTTGAAATTTTAGATTGGGTGGCCATACAGAGGCAAAAGTACATTTTTGAATTGGGAAATAGAAAATAAACAAGATTTGTTGTAACTTCTAAAGTGAATTTTACAACTGGACAGCTGTATGGGCTTTTGTCACCACACAGTGGGATCAATTGGCTACAGGCATGCGACCCTCTTGGCGGGGCTGGTCCTCCTAGAGACATCTGATATCCCATCCGTCACCCCTCTGGAGCAGGGCCGCAAGATGTGAAAGCAGAGTGGGTGGATAAGACCAGTGAGGCAGAAGGGAGTCTAGCAGGGAGCAATCAGCAGAGGTTTACTTCAGGAAGCCTCAGGGTGGCTGCCAGTGGGTGGTGGGTGGGTGTGCAGTGTTGGCCTGGGATTAGGGTGGAAGGAGCATGATATCTGGCCATAGGCTCAGAATGCTGGGCAGGGGAGCCGGGGGAGGGTGGGACATGGGGGTGACTCGGGAGGAATCCTGCCCTTATGGAGCTTTCAGTTCAGTGTAAGAGACAAGCTACACCCACAAATGACTCCAACATGGGTAGAGAGCCAGGTTCCAGGAGAAAGGTGGCCAATGCCATAGAAGTTGTGAAGAGGGCAAAATTACTCGCAGCTGAAAGGGTCACAGAGCACCTCATAAAAGAGCTGGCATCCGAATAGCCCAAACTGCCGGAGGTATGTGCTACTGGCCTCTTTGCTTACATTCTTGCCTGCAGGAATCAGCTAAGTTGTCAGGGGAGAAGACAGTGATCAGCACAGTGTGCACTGTGGTCTTGCTCCATCCACTCAGGCCTGAGGACCAATGAATATTTTGTTTTCATCACCTGCTCTAACATGACTAAAAGATTGTCACCATAGCCCTTCAATTTTAGCACCCTTCAGAAACCCAGAACTTTTATTGTTATAGCAGTCCTCAAAATATCACTGGAATCACACAGAGCTGTGTAAAATAAAACTGCAGATTTCTTTGGGAAATGAACTGGACAGCTAGGGTCTTCCTTGCTAAATAGTGGAGCAACTATTTAAGTACTTAGACATAAAATTGTAACTTTTTCTTAATGGAAATCTCTTTTTCAAAACATTACAAATGGGCCTGGTGTGATGGTGCATGCCTATAATCCCAGCACTTTGGAAGGCTGAGAAGGGAGGATCTCTTGAGGCCAGGAGTTCAACGTTACAGTGAGCGATGATCACCTATACCACTGCACTCCAGCCTGAGCAACATAGCAAGACCCTGTCTTAAAAAAAAAAACAAAAAAAAAACTGGAAATACTTTCCTGGCAGTTTTAAAACAAAGTGTGGTGGATAGCTTCTGGTAGGTGACTACTGTTGCAACTCCAGGTTTTCTATACGGGAGAGACAGCAATCAGCAGCAATCAGGGCAGCAATCAGGAGGGAAGAGGGAACCAAAGCTTGAGAATGCATCATTTATTCCTATTAAAGATGGCAGAAGGCACGAAAAGCCCACATGCCCTCCTGCTTAGTGCTACCTCTGCAGGACAGGACTGTATGAAAATCAGTTAGGGACTGTGCTGTGGATGCAGATGTATATTGCACAGGAGTGGCCTTAAGGCACCGCCAGGCATCACCATGACCCCTGACTTTGTCCTTTTCCCATCCACCTGCGCTGGCTGGGCTGCCCTGCCAGGGCACGTGGATACGCTGGGGACTGTTGAGCAGAGGCAGCTGCCTGTCCTCACTGCACCCTGCCCAGGCTGGAGTTCCCCGCCCCAGACCTCAAAGGACTGCAGAAAACAGAGACAGGTGGCTGGTTGTCCCCCACGGCAGCAAAGCTGTTCTGTTTTCTGTCCTGAGTGATTTGTTTCTCTGCTGTTTTGAGCTGATTGTGCCTATCACTGCTTCTTAAAATAGCCACCAATGGTGCTGCAGCCATGACCACTGATATGGGCCTCCACAGCTTCCTCTCTCTTCTCTCCCCCTGCCTTTTCCCTCTCTTGTTACTTTCGTTGCTACTGAGATTTATGAGAAAAGACTGGCCTTTCATAGACATCATTTGCCAAGCACAGTACTTCTTTCTGTCTTTGTTGGCTAAGCCATCATTCACTGTCCCGTGGGGATAATCTTATGTTCTTCCGCTTCCCTTTGGCCGAGTTCTCTGGGGGCCTGCTTTTTGCTGACAAAGAGGGGAGTTGTGTGTGCATTTTCCTGGCAACTTCTCTCCTTGAGCAATCCAAAAGGCTGAGGATGCTGGAAAGCAAGTGTGTATTTACACAGTCTTTATAATCTGCTCATGTCCCTCTCTGAAAGCGCTGATTGCTTGAACAGATGTAATAGCTCTGGTTCTGAGGCAAGATGGAGCTGACTGGTGAAGAGCCCAGATTCTGTGTCATAGAGACCAGGGTAAGAGGACACACTTTATCACTTACTAAGTCTCCAACCTTGGTGAAGTCTGCGGCTCAGTTGATTTCATCTGTGTGTAAAATAAGGCCAGCATGGTTCCTCACGGGACATCGTGAAGTGCTTGTCACAGTCTCAATCTATATGGGCTATTATTGTTGTTGCTATCATTGAGAGAGAATAACAGGAAATATAGTTCCATTCAACACACTGAAGAAGTGTTTCCAGGTACTTGCATTCCGTAATACCAGAGCTCATGGTGTAGGATCAGCCCACACACTAGTGTTATTATCTCTGGATCTGAGAGATTCTTTAGTGGCTTCAGTTTATAATTGAACATCTTATGAAATAGTTCACACAGTTGGGTGAGCTATTTTTAAAAGCTAAGAAAACAGAAAGGCTTTCACACACATGCAGATGTGGTCATATTTTAGGAAAACTGTTTGAAATGTAAATTATAGGTAATACTATTCTGTGGTTTGAAAAAAATGCTAGGAGCCAAATATCTGTTTTAGGGATGTGGTGAACTAAAGCAAATGTCAGCAAGCTACTGGAGGGAAAAAGTGTTTCTGAGCCCCCAAGAAATATTACTAACTCACATCCGGAACTACTTCTGCAATATTCCAGCAATGGGCAGAGTAAACTGGATCCCCAGAGTTTTTTGTCCTTATTTCTACGATGTGTTAACATCCTTCCAAGGTCTTCCTTACCTGAATAAAGCCCTAAAATTTCCTCACTATCTATGATCATCACAGGGAGTTTGTGACAACACCTAATTTAAAATCTGTCATTAGTGAGATCTATGCTTTTCTTCAGAAACTTTTCATTTTCTTTTGGTAAGCCAAAGGAATACCTGAGAATTATTTTTGCCTACGTAACATTCAGAATTTGAAGTAATTCTGAAGTCATCTTAAAGGTGTTCTTTCTCTAATGTTTTAGAAAGCATTCATACATTGAATAGTACAAGGTGATATATACCTTCTTGGTTACCTTTCAATTCTAAGGTCCTCTGAAAGAAAAAATGTTACAGTTATTCAAAATGATTCTGGAAAAAATCTAATCTTTAATTTCTGTGTGTGATCGTAAATTTTGCATACCAAGAAATGACTCAGCGAGGATGCTAAGGGATAGTGAAGCTCACTGTGTTGTAGAGCCTCCGTATTTACAGAGAGCCTTCATGTGCCAATTATAATTATCTAGAATGCTTGATTTTGAGTCCTAGTGTACCACTGGGTTTTGTTAGAATCATTACTATTATTTTCATCATTATCTTTATTATTATTTCCCACGTATTGCCTGTTATGATCCCATTATGTTTGCAAAAAATCAATTATAGGGCCATATCCTTAAAAGTACAAATTTATATTGTGAATATTATTGATTACAACCTGCTTACTTCAGCTATTTTACCATTGCTTCATAACAGGCAAATAATTTTTTGATTCAGATCAGTGGGAGAGAAAATGAAAAGAAGGAGGGAGGGAGGAAAGAAGGAAAGAAGGAAGGCAGGAAGGAATTTAAAAATAATTAGATGTGACTTGACTAGCTATAGCCATTACTGGAAAGAAAAAACAACAAATTCTAGCCAGTAACCTGCTCAATCCCAATAAAACTAATGGCAAACAGTGCAATTAGTCCACTACAATGAAGACATTTGGAAAACATAGGCACAGTAGAACAACTTGAAACCTTCAGCTGTCCTCAGCAGAAGTCTGTAGGGGCCAACTCTAATCTCTTAGCCACAATTATAATTGATTACAAGCCTGTAATTAATAAGGAATTCCTTATTAAATGAGAGTTTCATTTAGAAAATTGTGTGGTCCTCTGCTTCCCACCCTGTAGGAGCAA